CTGCTGGGGGCGGGCCTGCCGGGGCACGGCGGCTGCGGCGCGGACCCGCCTGGCCTGGCCTGGCCTGGCCTGGCCTCGCCTCGCCTCGCCTCGCCTCGCCTCACCTCACCTCACCTCACCGGGGCGTCGGGGAGCCCTGCGGCCGGGGCAGCGGGACGGGCCTGGGGGAGGGCCCAGCTGCTGTCCTGGTAACAGCGGGCTGGCCCCGACCGACTGCGGTGACAGCACGTTACCACAGCGCCGCTGTGTCTTCGTGGGAGCGGGCCGAGCCTCAGCCGCCAGGGGCTCCTCTTCTCACGTGTGGCCTGTTACCGTCGCTTTGTAAAGGCTCTTTTACTGTGACTTTATACAGGTGGTCAGCCTGCGGCTGAAGCAGACTTCGAAGTGTGTGTAACTGCTTGCTTCCTGCAGAGTTGCACTGTTCACTGGACTTCACCCAGCTCAGTCCAACAGAATAATACGGGGCAACATCCGTGCAAAAAGACCAAAAATCTCAGAAGGGCAGGAAAGGAAATGGGGCAAGAAGTAAGTGGTTGGAAAGAGTGGGGGCAACAGGTCTTCTTTGTGTGGTAATATCTTGTTCATTTTGGCTAATGCTGGCTCCCAAAATGAATGTGGTTTGACCATGGTTGTGTTCTCAATACATGGCTTTACACCAGGGTTTTGAACTGCCTCTAGCTCCCCTTGCAGTTCACAGCTCTTTGTCATTTTTCCTTAAATGAAAATGGGTCTCTAAACAAAGACTGTGCTTTTAAGGACATACTAAACAAAAAATGAAGATGTCTTACATGTAATCCTTGAAACTTTACAATACAGAATCAAAAGAGTAATTCTGAGCTGAAAGTGTAGCAACATTATAGGAATGTATTTCTCCAGTCTTCCGTCAGACTCCTGTGAGTGAAAAAGTGTACATCTGACCAGCCCCTGGATGCTTTCTCCATTCTTCCTGGCCTGTTGCATTTCTTGAAGTCCAGTGTTTTCTTGCCTTTGAGTATGGCTTTCCTTCCCCATGGGCTGTTACTTAGTTCAAACCACCAATGTAAGCTTGTTCATTTTTTTAGAGGGAGACTTCTTTTTTTCGAAGGAGGGAATGACAAGTTTTTGTTGGAAAATTACGATTTTTGAATAAAACCTTATTTGTAGAAATGTGTCAAGTTTCCATGGGCTAGATGGATTTTAATGGAAGGCTGCCTGGTCTCTTGAAAGCTGCTCTGGCAGCTCCTAGAGCAAATTTCTTAAGCCTAGGAGGTCTGTAAGTCTTCTGTAAAGCCCCTGGATACTCTATATTCTGATATTCAATATTAATTTTATGATACGGGCCAACTGGGTGTTTTCAGGGCTTATAAATCAGTTCTTCACCACAGTGAGATGGGTACTTCCATGTCTTCTAGGCTTCCCAGCTGTGCAGTGCAAAGTGTCGGTGAAGCAACTGAAATAATGATGTGCAAGTGCTGCTACATACATTTCCTGGGTCTATTCCTTCACTAGCTACGGCAGTACCTACAGTGCTACCAGCTCGAACTTGTGCCCATGTGAGGAAACTGCTATGGGGAGACAAATGTTAAATGTTGTTAACTATGTCATAGCTGGGCCTTTGCTGCTTCTTCCTCCTGACTGCTGTGGCACATCTTTGCAGCAGTAACTGCTGAACCGCTCCCACATTACACCAGGGCCGTGTCGCCCCAGAGGTATGCAATATCACTGTAGAAGAACATCTGTTCCTCTTGTCGTACAACACCTTGCACAGGGAAATTTTGCTAATCACGACGAGTGGGATCCATGAACACTGTTAAAAGCCCGAAATACCTCTGGTCCCCCAACTTGAAAGTAACTTGATAAAATAAAATTTATCCTGAAAACTGCTGCGTTCATCTCCGTGAAGATGAACTGTTGTCTTAGAATGCCTGATTATTTCATCCTAGAAATACTATTGTATAGAGAAGTGTGAGACTAACTACTGGCATTTTAATTTTAGATAACCCGTGCTGAAAAATGGGTTTGATCACTGAAGGTGTTCCTCTGTGGAATGTACAGCAAATAGTAAGGACACTTTGGGTTGTTTTCAAATACAAGGAACTGTATACATCTAACCCTAACGTCTTGCAAGTGTGTTAGAGGTAATAAAATGAGTGCAGTTTACCAAACACACTGGACCAAATTGTGCTTTTGTAGCAAAGGGTATAGAACCATTAATATTTAATGTGCTCGCTCCTGTATGACAATCAGCAGGCTGGTTCCAGTCCAAAACAGTGCTGAAGCATTTTACTGTATCAAACCTGAACTCCAGCTGTTGGAAAAACAAGAACAAATGGCACATGGTTGCCTCATTAAAGTTACTCTGACCAATATATTTCTCTTAAATTTAAATGTCTCCAAACTGACTAGTGCCCTTTCCAGATAGAAAGCTAACAGGCTGCCCTTACCAATGTATGTAATAGTCTCAAACTTAAATATAATTTGAACTTGTGTCACACAAAGAACTCTAAAAAAGTTATTGAGAAAGCCTGTTCTGTCTAGTAGGCACTTTACACCACGTTTCGTCCTCCCAAGGCTACTCCTTGCCTGTTGAGCTGGCTTGATCATACGGAGATACAATATCTCCCTTTAGATTAAATTAATACAGCTCTTCAGAATCAAATCTGAATTTTGGAAATAGAAAGGCCAATCCAAGATCAGTGTTACCAGGCTTCCTGTTTTCTGACTGCTTTTTGCCAGCTAATCAATAGCTACAGACAAGATGAAAAGCTGGGATTTTTTTCCTAATTTTCTGCTTCATTAGGAGCTTTCTGCTTCATACAAGCATTGACGAAGGCTTGCGCAATTAGAGGCATCAGAGAATTCCCATGCAGAAGTCTGGAGATAATGGGGCCTGGCATCCTTTATTCTTTTGGGCATCTGCATTCCCTTTGACTGATGGGTTGGCAAGAGCCGTTATACAACTTTTTGAGAAGGAAAATGTAACTAAGTAACAGTATTGCTTAACACTTTTGAGGAAAAAGCAGCATTTTCTTGCTGGATTTTTGAACTATTTATTTTCTGGTGAATAGACTACAGTGCATCAGTGCAGGGTGATTACCAAGGTAGTCCAACATATTAATTCTGAGCCTGAGTCTTTTTTGGTAGTTGTGCAATTACAAAAAGTAGCTGCAATGTCTATGCCAATATGTGTTCTGTAGTACAATTCTATCTGAGAAATCACTAATGAATTTTTGGATTTTTTTCAGATTAGTCATTTTTGTAGGATATTGAAGAGTGCTATGATTGGTGGATTGATCAGTTGATCTGTTCCTAGACCAGTGCTCAATTTGGTCATGAACATTGTGTTTTCCATTACTCTCTTCTGACTGCTCAGTTTTCCTGAGCTGGTTATGGTGCTTAGTGTTACCAGGACATTAGACTTGAACCTACTTGAACCTACCCACTGGTGCAAGAGATCTCATTAATTTCAAGCAGTGGAAGGTACTTACAACTGTGAATACAGTTCAAAACGTTGTTGGGGTTTTTTTGTCAGATATGCTGCTTTTAACTGTGAAAGGTAGAAAACACTCCACATATGTCAGAGTTCTGCAGGTTTGGGGCCTTGGCACAGGCACCAAGTTTCATGGTAAGGTTCAGACTTTCTAGACCCAGGCCTTCTGTCTTGCACAAAACACACAGGCTTTGTAGCCCTTTAAAACTATTCTTCACTGCAGACACATAGAATCATAGAATGACTGAATGGTTGAGGCTGGCAGGGTCCTCTGGAGGTCATCTGGTCAAACCCCTCTGCTCAAGCAGGGCCACCTAGAGCCATGTGCCCAGGACCATGTCCAGGTGGCTTTTGCATATCTCCAAGGACAAAGACTTCACCAGCACTCTGGGCAACCTGTGCCAGTGCTCAGTCACCCTCACAGTGAAAAAGTGTTTCCTGATGTTCAGAGGGAACCTCCCATCTTTCAGTGTGTGCCCATTGCCTCTGGTCCTGTCACTGAGCACCACTAAAAAGAGCCTGGCTCTGTTCTCTTTGCACCCTCCCTGCAGGTATTTATATACATTGACGAGATCCCCCTGAGCCTTCTCTTCCCCAGGCTGAAGAGTCCCAGCTCTCTCAGCCTTTCCTCATAGGAGAGATGCTCCAGTCCCTTCATCATCTCGGTGGCCCTTTGCTGGACTCTCTCCAGTATGTCCATGTCTCTCTTGTACTGGGGAGCCCAGCACTAGACCCAGCACTCCAGGTGTGGCCTCACCAGTGTTGAGTAGGGAGGGGAAGGATCACCTCCCTCGACCTGCTGGCAGTACTTTGTTTAATGCAGCCCAGGATACCATTAACA